GGTCACTATAGTGAGTTCTGATCCATTTGTAATTAAGCTAAGTGAGGCCACTATAGTGAGTTCCACAAACTACTACCCTTGTAAGAGAAGAGACATAGGCAGATAGTTACATGACAGAGCTGTATGACGACAGGCAGAGGTAGAAGGAAGGGTCTACCAGTCAAGTAATACCTAGGTGGGTAACACCAGAAAATAAAAGAAAGGTCTGGAACACATTCTCAAAATCCTCAAAGGGATGTTGGCCTTGCTATTGTCTTGATTTTGGACTTTGGGTATCTAGAACTGTGAGAGGCTACATTTCTCTTGGTTTTTTTCCCTGACCAGTGTGGGGAAGTCTGCCAAAACAGCTTCAAGACACACAGACCTTTCCCTAATTCCCCAGGCTCCACTGCTGTGATGTGTTGTTGCTCCCAGTCATTTGACTAAGGACAAATTCATGCTTTATGGGCAGCATCACGTCTTATCTCTTCATGTGGAGCCAGTAGTGTTGATAGGGAATCTGTCTTGTCTAGACTTCCTTAGTCTTATGACTCAAGCTGTGCTGCTTGCCTTTTGCTATGGAAACAGAGGCTTAAGGGATCTTTGGAAACAAGCTACTTCTTGTTGGCTCTTGCCCTGGAAAACTGTCCTCTGGTGCTAACAAATCTAAAAGGACACTGTGTGCACCAGATAAATAAAAATACCATGAGGTGGGCCTGAGAGATGGTTCAGTGGTTGGGAGAACTTGTTGCTTCTCCAGAGAACCAGACTGAAGTTCCCAACTGCCTGTTACCTACAGCTCCAGGGGATCTGATGACTTCTTCTGGCCCCCACAGACATTGCACATACATGCACATACACATATCCACATCAATAGAAATAAACCTTAAAGAAAATAAAAGAAATATCATGAAGATAAGCTGAGGACAATGTGCAGAGTGCTGTGGAGGGGACTCATAGTGTTGTGACCATGGTGTTCAATTCTAAGGCTTAACCACAGAACTTGGGGCTCTTGTGGGCTCAAAGATAGTGCCACAGAACATGGATGTCTACACCCAGGAATTCAGAGGGATCTGGAGACGGTAGGAGAGAGGCACTAAGAGTTAGTAAATATGAAATGGGCTTTGTTTTTGAGGCTTTAGGCCAAAGAGGAAGTCAATGATGAGAACACAGGTACGTTAGTGATGAGGATGTAAAATGCGCAGATGCTAGAGAAAAAGTCTGATGGGGCCTTCAAAAGTTAAACACGAGCTGATGAACTGGCTCAGTTGGTAAAGATCTTGCCTTGCAAGAATGGGGACCTGAGTTTGCTCTCCATAATCCTTGTTTTAAAAAAATCTGGGTGCTTATAATCCTAGTAGTAAGAAAGTAGAGACGGGAGGGTCCCTGGGGTTTGTTGGCCCGCCAGACTAGCCTAATTGGTGAGTTCTAGGCCAATGAAAGACCCCGCCTCAGAAAACAGGATGAGCAGTACCTGAGGAATGATACTGGAGATTCTCCTTTGGTCTCCACCTTACACACATACATGCATGTACGCACACTTGCGGCCACTCACACCCTTACACACATGCACACACTTGTGCACATGTATACACACATTAAAAATTACCATGACATTCCCCCAATCTTGTGGCTGGGTATATTAATTCCCAAAGAAAAACAGGATCTCAAAGAGCAATTTGTGCACCCATGTTCACAGTAGTATTCACAATGCTTAAAAGACAGAAGTAGTCCAAGCATTTGTGATTGTGTGGATAAACATAGAATACCTGTGCAAGTGATAAAATATTATCCAGCTTTAAAAGGAACAGACGACTGATACCTGCAACAGCATGGATGACCTTTCAGGCCATGATGCTCAGTGAAATGTGCGAGTCACAAAAGGACAACTACTTCTCTCATCTTACTTCTAGAAGAGGCCTTGTATGAGAATTCTGCAGCTAGATTTGCCGACAGACAATGGAAGAGAAGACTGGGGTGGAGGAGTGGAAAATTGGAGGGACATGGCATGGAGTTTAAGTTTGGAAAGGTGAGAAAGTTCTGAATCCTCCCATTGACCCATCCAAGGACACTGACCTGGATAGTCATAGCAGACTTTACCTGGTTAAATCAGTCAGTGGGAGGCATCACAGGTGGGGCACCTTTTGCCCACAGAGCCAGTGTTCCTTCTTGTCATAGAACTCAGCAGGGCAGCAGTCCACAAGAGAGGCCTTGCCTGTGGCTTCTCCCACCTTGGCTCAGAGGCATACAGGTACCTTTGTTTGGTTCCACATGGGAAGTTGACAAATAATAAATCACACATGTGACCCAGACCAAGATTGTAGGAGTCTTTCATTTTCTTTTATACACAGAAATTTTGGTCTATTCTTTAAATTAAGAATTTCAACTACAGACTTTAATTTATTATACATCTGTGGTCTTTCTCATTAAGATATTTTGTTCATTTTTTTATAACAGGCAGATAAAAATGTAAAACATATTTATGAACTGAACACAGTTGACCAAGCCATTCCATATAGTATAATGCTTTATAAAGAGAAGCTTCCAGTGAGACAGGTCTCTTCGGCCAGAAGACTGTACAAGACCCAGAACAGATGAACCCCACAGCTCAGCACAAAGGCAGCCTGGGAATCACACAGTCGACACTGACATCAGGCAACTTTAGACAGCAGCATTGAGGGTTGGCTTTTTAACATATAGTGGTCATTTGCTCTATCTGTGTGTCTATAACGGAGGATGACAAGAAGCTCATGAGCATAGCTGGGCACAGCTGACCCACTTCAACCGCAATACTCCACATTTCAATTTCTTATTGAAGAACACAAAGACCCTCAGCAAGCCAAGTTGCCTTTTTGTTGTGGCGGTTTAAACGAGGACATCAGGGAACAATTTACAAATGGGAAACATTCTCAATATGCCCTTTATAAAAAAAGGGATGGCTTTAAGTGATCTGTAGCTGGCATTTTAAAGTGGAGTTTCTCTTGTAACCGAAATTCTTTTG